CAAACATCATTGCATCTGGATCCCTCAATAGTGTTGCAACTGGCCATCATTATAATAAAGCAGTACGTACATTGAAACTTGTATACGAGGCAATGGCACGATTACAATGGAAACAGTTTGGTGAACATCTGGACACGATGCAACACCTTGATATAGATATTGAATTCATCTATGAGAATGTACTGCTTATGAGGGAGAATTTCAATGGTAATGAGTGAATAAACTATTCAAAATCTTTCAAGATTTCAGGGTGTCAGACAGAGGGCCAATGTTTAAACTGTGGACAAGCTTTCTAGAGATGGTGGAACTTCTGCTGACATTCATTCATGCATGCAGAGAAGGTGATTGGGAACTTCATCTGAATTGCTTCAGTGAATTGCCCAGGTTCTTCGCCTATAACCAGACCAATTATGCTAGATATGGCGCATATTACTACTGCAGTAATAAGTACTTGAACAAACTCATCCACGAATCCATGCACAACTCCTGAATGGACACTTTGCCGTGGAGATGTCTAAGATGAATCCATTTGGTAAAATCCCCGAGGATCAAAGTATTGAAGAGACTATCAACAAAAGAAGTAAAATTCCAGGGGGTATTGTTGGGAAGAGCACAAACCCTGAAGCTGTTAGCCAGTGGATTGATACAACAGTGGACAGATCACAAATAACTGAGAACATAAGAAAACTCGCTGATATCGGATGTGATGAATCATCTTGGACACACAAGGAAAGTAGAACTCAAAGAGTCAAAGAAGATGAGAGTGATATAAATAGTGTTCAGAGTACAGTTGAAAACATGTTTGACACCTTTATGCAATCACAAGAATTGACATCTATATCCACTGGGCTTAAGCCTACTGCAAACACAGTTAATGACTTATTTTTTGCACTTTCATATGGAGAGAATTCATACAAAAACGAATTATGACCAATGATGTGCCATTCTTTGATCCTATCACCGAACTCAAGTTAAAAACATTCTCAAGTGAGACAACAAAGACATCTGTGAAATTGGCGGTCGAGATTTAATTGTAAAGGCAGACAGAACATTCTTCTGCAAGCTGGTTGCGATTGCCCAGGGTCGGAACCTTGATTTGTATGAAGTATACTCACATGAGCTAGGACCTATTCCATGGGCCATTGCCACACCATATGGGACTCTATTCAAAACAGACAAGGCCAAGCTTTTGCCTGAATTAGAAAAGAATGTTCAATCAATTCAGCATGACCCTGCTGATGCAGTTCTAATTGTTGATGTCTTTGCAAACATTCAAATTCTCTAACCTTTTCCAGCAACAAATCTGCCACACACAGAAGCAACTAAATGGAAGCCAAAGACATTCAGTGATGTAGCAGAGTCGATCATGTCTAGCATATGCAGAATTGTATTTCCTCAACCTGCCAGAATCGACTCTGTTATAGATAATTATCCAGATATGTCCATCAAAGACACAGGGAGACAGAGCAGGTCTAAATTACCAGGACGCAGGGTTAAAGTCACCAGTGGGACACAGAAGACTCCACTGGACTGGAAAAACTTCCTGTGTACCAGCTCAAACAAACAGGACCTGCCTGAATTTTTGCTGAGGGAATGGTCTGCTGACAAAAGTGGAAAATATGCTCATTTACTACGGGACACAACTATATTCATGCACCATGGTGCAAGATGTCACAGGCTTGTTCCAAGTTTGTTCTGTAAAGCAGAGGAGGCTGCCAGTGTTTCAATATGTTCTTCAGTTATCATAAGATCCTTGGACACTGATGTAATGGTTCTGGCTATCTACTTTCAGAAAGAGATAAACTCACCCATCTTGGTTCAACGGCAGACAAACAAGAAGCAATGGAAGTTTGTTGATATTTTGACAATACAACGCCACTTAGGCTCTGAAATGTGTGATGCTTTGTCATGCTTTTCTCTGGATGTGACAGCACAAGCGGGTTTACTGGCAAAGGCAAAAAATCCTTCTTCAAATTACTGGAAACCAATGAATGTTTCAGAGATGCCATGAAGAGGTTAGGTGATTCACTTATGGTTAATGATGAAGTAAACACAGCCTGTGAGTCTCCAATTTGTCGTTTGTATGGATACCAGCTCTCTGATAGTAAGCTCTCAATAAAGTCAGATATGAAATGTTGACCAAAGGTGCATTCCTCCAACAAGAGATGCGATGATTCTTCACATCAAAAGAGCCAATTATTAAGCACACCTATGGAAGAATGCACTAGATGCTACATTTTTTGACCC